AAAAAAAAAACTCGGAATTTCTTGAGTTAGCCGGATATGTTGAGTTTCTGTTCACAGCACAAGTGCGTACTGAATGGCCCATAACCAGATTTCGATTCGTACATATGACTCCATTCGGATACAGGTTGTAACTGCAGACCAGAGCAAGTTGTGGCTTTCAGTTTTTTTGATGTAGTACTTATAAATTTGTGGCAAGTTCCTGATTACAGTGCACCAGCGCATTCATAATGCGTGCTTGCAAAAGTTTTGCAGAGGCATGCGTCTTTAATAGCCGTGATGGAATGAAAAAAGACATAGCTTTCTCATGGCCATGACGGTCTCCCGAAGCGCGCTGATACTACTCTTTCCATATTAAACTCGTTATTCGGGTTTAGGCATTCTTTGATACAATTTTGGGCTTTCAAGAACCGTTGCTTTCTTCCAGCTGATTTTGTTTCTGTGTTGCTGTATTTTTTGTTCAGTCGCTAACTTCAACACCTTACCTCCTTATTTGAGAATTAAAAGCTTCGATAATTGTGGCGTCCTTCCTTCGAATCTTTTCCATTCCGAATTCCTTAAGAAAGCCACTGCAAAATTATTGGAATTTCAGATGGAATGTGGGGAGATATGGGTGAAACAGAAAAATGATCTTGATGAGAGTAGCGGCGAGCACTTGATTGTTGTTAATGGCAGGAATAACAGGCGACATCGACGAAGGCAGCTGCTCAAGCAATATTGGGAGGAGTGCGGGTTTGTTCGGTGGCTCAAACGCAAATTTGCAACCAATGACCGAGCGAAACGTGCTGATTATTTATCTAGTGAGTGTTTGAAAGAGATCGATTTCAGACGCAGGACAGATTGTAGATTTGTTATTCCCTTTACCTTTCACCTCCTTTTTATTCGTCTTCCCCTTCCTCACTTTGACATCCCAGTGTATATTTATTTTCGCGGTATCAACCCCAAGAATCTTTCTGTGTTGTCACTAGACATAACAACAGTGTCTTCATTTTGAAGCAAAGACTGGCTACATCTGTAGCTCTCAGCAGACTAAGAATGCGCTTTTGGCTAATTTGCAGCTTCTGCTGCACCATAAGTTCTAACAGTTTTGAAATTTCTCAATAAGGGGTCTTACACGCTTAACTCGAGACAGTTCTCATCTGTTTTTTTACTTGTTTTTGTGCTCTATTGGAATGTAAAAGCGCATCAAGCCAAACCACGTGCGTGTGTACCAGTCTGTCTGTCTGTTTGACCGCATATTTCAGCAGCTAAAAAGCTGAAATTTTATGAGCGAAATAATGGATTGTGTGTGAAACCTCAAAAATAAAATCAATTTTCTAGTCATTATGTGACCTTACCTTTATCCCCAGGTTCTCATTCGGGCTAGTTCCACAACTTCAAATTCATGAAGTTACACACGTGAGATTTTGGGGGAAAAAATTCTGGCCGCGTCTAGGTTCAAAATTCTAAATACATTTGAATCACCCTTTGCCTCGACTATCAAATTCCGGCCGAATTTAGATAATCCCGCAGCTTAAAAACCTGAGGAATACAAACTTGAAGTTTTATAACGGAAGTTCTAATTTCATGTAAGGCAAGGAACCTGAAATCAGTCTTCGGGTCGTCATTCTGACTTTTAACCTTATTCTGATTTTGGCAATTTAAAGCCAAAAAGCTTATAAGTTTGAAATTCTAAGGGAAAATTTTGCGATCTTGTATAAAACGAAAAGCCCGAAGATGACAGTCGCACCGTGCTTTCCCCCGTATGCTTGATTCTAGCGAATATCACTGTCCTGATTACAAGCCAAGGATCTCATCTTAAAACATTTTTTAAGCAATACCTAAAACAAAAACTGTCCATAATCTCGTGTGCACGAAATGACCGCTGATAACTGAATGGCAATCAGTTTGATTACCATGCATTCATCTGTTTCGAAAGTAAAATGTAAAAGGCCGGAAGATTTGGATTTGTGCTGAAAATGCAAGAAATGTTTCTCCTGTGCATCGAAATCAGTAGTCAGAATCCTACTCACATCCATTTTTAATGAGAGGCGGTAGCACTCGAAAGTATTCCTATAATAATAAGCGCCAACAACGACCACTTGTTGGCAAGGTTGCCAGTATCACATACGTATCAATCGAAGGTGTGGAAAAAATATTTGCGGAGATTGTACAATTTTTTAACGATAGTTTCTTGAATGGGCAAAACTTCTTAAGTTTGGTTTTTCAGGACTAATATTTCCAGCAATGTTTTTGATTTTCAATTGCGCGTATTGGTTACGATATTCACAGTATCAAGTATCGAAGCCGACATGATAATGTGCTGCTGATTTGATTAATAATGTGCTGCTCTCACGTTTTTGCAGCGCTTTGTTAAATTCAAAGAAGAATGAACACTCTACTTCATATCACAATTTATTCTGCTAGATGACGGATCAAAGAATAGGAACAAAGCAGACCAGAGAGAAGAGGTTGAACGAAATATGTCAAAGTGCTTGTAGAGAACAAACTTCGAACTCTGATTTGTTAAATTTAATCAAACAAAAACGCTGTTAATCTGTACATCCCTATTTCGACAAACTTTACACACTAACAGATTGGATCTATGTTGAGGAATACAACACCTCAGGAATGTTTTCGGCAGAAACAGCACGTCAGAAATCAAGAATGAGAGGATTTGGAGAGACTTGAAATAGTGAGGACTTGGTTGGGGTGAGAGATAGAAAAACGAAACAGGATTGGGAGTTTGCATATTTTCTGCATATTATGAGAAGCACATTTTCCATGCATTTTCAGGGAAACTCCTCGCACAAGACTAGAAGAATAATTTTGGGGATTTTGACAAATGAAAGTGGAGGTTAAAATTAAACGTTTGATCGAAGTTATTTGTCTTTGACCTTTCTTTGCACAGAACATGATATGGTATGCAAATTTTTAATGTCTGAAGCAAACTGTCTTTCACAGCCCTGCATTTCCGACATGTCGCAAAGCCACCACTGAGCAACAGCTACGGTTCTTGAATGTAACTCAGAAACGAGCAGTTGGTGCAAGTACATTCTAAAATCTGCGGCTCCTAGATAACATGTCCTAAATGAGTCAGTCATATGCGAGCAGCTTGTCAATCCTGGGTGATGCCTGTCAAAAACCAAAAGTTTGATTGATCAAGCTAGCTAGCGGGGCCGAAAATACCACCGCTTAAGATCTGTGCAATTGCGTTACCTTCTTCTGGAGTTGGCATGTGTTTGGTACCGAGTAGCGAACCAAGCCAGTCCACTTTATCAAGGCGACCCTGAAGTAGGCTCTCCAAGAAGTTGCCATCGTCCACTGCAGGTGTTGCCGTCGAAGGGAGAGTGGTAACGGTACTACCATCACTCTTACTAGCTTTTCCACTGGTGTCCTCTGCTAATTCACCAGGTGCATTTGGCTTTTCCAATTTCTCTGCAGTCTCGTCTGCCTGAAAATGTTAGTGAGTGCAGTAAAGGAAATACGGGGTTTGTCCTAAAAACTCCAGAAGTTGTACATGAATTTGTAAAACGCAAAGATTTCTGTAACATAAAATTCGAAGGACTGGTGAGTTCAGGTTTTTGGTTTTTTGCATGGGGTCCGGTCATTTTTTCAGTAAATGCTCGCTTTGTGAAAAATGACAAACGCAAATTTTTGGAAAAAATGCAAATTTCCAGTTCACTAGGAAGTGGAAGTATTGCTCGAGCGGTCGTTTGTCAAAAAATCCATGTATACAAATTAACTAATGTTTATTTACATATACGATTGGGGTTTGGGTCGGAGTGCGATGGATTTCTTAACGATTTTTCGGTTAAGGAGCTGCTTGAGGCTGTGGTTGGGGTGCTCGACAGCTGAGTTTAAAACCTTTAGCTCGCACCTGCATAGAAAATATCCCTTCAGAGTTCCAGCTTTCTACGCTGCCTGATTCGCGAAGTCGTTTCCCGCCAACATGTTTCTCTGGGGGCCCGTACGCGGGGTCTAGGCACGTGTGGGGGAACATCGTAAAACGGGAGGATGACACACGGGGTAGGAACATATACCCGAGTTTTCAGCCTCCCAGCTTTCCTGGTTTCTGAGATGAAAGTGGGTGGCAAAACGCACTCGCTTACGAACACACACACACAGATAGTCTCTCGACAATATGCGTTCTCCCTGGCTGTTATAGCGCTACACAGCAAAAATGCATAATAAAAATGACCGACTCAAATATGAACACTTCAGTCCATCCGGTTGCAAAAATCCTCATTCAGCACTACAGCATGGCCCCGTCAGTACGACAGTTGTGGTGCTGATTAATTGAAAGTATTTAAAATACAAATAATTGACCAACGCACGGGCTGCCCGTGCGAAGATGCGTTTTTTGCATGGTTCCCCGCAGATTTTTTCGCTAATGGCACTGTTTTTCCAACAGATTTTTCTAGCTAAAAGAATTTCAGACTGGCCGCTACGACTGTCGGGAAACATTCCTTCAAAATTCCGGTTTTCTAACTTTTCAGCTTCCCAAGTTAGCAGCTTACCCGGAAAAGGTTTTGTCGGGCCCGTGCGTGGGTGCCGCGCATACGCGAGGGCTGGGTTTGAATTCATTGAGACTTACGTGGACAGGGAATATCCTTTAAAGTTACAGTGTTCTAGCTTTTCAAATTCTTGAGTTAGCAACTTACCCGAAAAAAAACTTTGGCGGGCCTCTACGAGGGTACCATGCATACTCGAGGGGTGAATTTGAGCTCACTGAGACATAAGTGGACGGGGAACATCCCCTTAAAATTTCAGTTTTTTTTTTTAAAAGCTTTCGTGGTTCCCGAGTTAACGACTTACCCACAAAAAACTTTCACGGGCCCGTACGTGGGTACCATGCGGGTAGAAGCGCCCATTTTGGGGAATAGGGTCCGTACGTGCATGTAGATTAAGTTCCCAAAGTTTCAGCCCTGTAGCTTTTGTAGGTCTTGAGATGA